GTATCTCGATGAAGCCACACATTACTACTGCCATTACCGCTGCTGTTGTTCCAGCCTCTACTGTTGTTGCTGCTCATAATTTTGCCGCCGCTGCCGACGTACTTTGAGTGGACTTCCGAGATGAATGGGAAGTAGGCTGCATTCCAGCAAACATAAAGATGCGAAAACCATCGCACCACGTCGCGCCATTCAATCCAGAAACAACCACAGTCCTCCTTCCCCTGAAAAATGCAGAGAGAGAGACAGGAAAGATGCCAAATTTAGTACTGAATCCTTGTTTCTAATCCCGAGGCTGTTCATCAGCCAAAAGATGCCTCAAAAACAGGACCACAACCATTGGTCACAGTTCACAGGTTGCTGAGGGCTTCGGGTTTAGGCATCAAGTATTTTTCGATGCTCAGCGTGAACTGCAGGTTCAAAACGGTGCGGCTAGAGCGCCTCCATTGTGCCCTGCGCTTTGCTTTAGTCTCCACTGGAATATATCGAAACTAGCACCAACAATGCATCAAGACTGAACCTTGGGCTCTCAGACTCACCGCCACTGCTGGATCGTAATCTAATGCATCCTTTAGCTGCTGGGTCCATGTCTTCTTGTCCCCCGGCGAAAATTTTCCACGCCAGCGCATGCAGCCCCAAGGATTCTTGACGTACAAAAGGCGGTGGCCAAACACCTCCGCGTGGCGCAAGACGGAATAAGCATGGCGAGCCACTATACCTGGGGTGACGGGCACAGCAATAGGACAACGAGCATGAAATATGAATTCTACGAAAAACGATCATCGTAAATGAAATTGGCAGGAAAAATGGAAAGAGGAAGACATAAGCTGACGACACAAACATACCTGTGCTGACAGAAACCCCCTCAGGGAAGTCGAGGCCGCTTGGCGCCGCGTCAAAGACTTCACTTGTGCCCAAGCAAGCTACGCACCGGCCTTCACTGAGACCCCTGGTAGCACAAGTAGCAATGCAAGCAAAAAACGAATACGTACATTGAGACAGCAGTGTACCCCGGCTACGAATAAAGAATAAATGACAAAGCAACTGATATGCAAGTGACAAATAAATAATCAAACAGGCGAAGTGATTAACAAAGGAAAGCAAATCTACGGTCACAGCCTTAGCCCGACATGCAAACAACCGTATACCCGCGCCAAATCCAAGCTACTTCCCAACTCCACCTTCTGTTAAGCCCATTGCAAGCAGCATAAACAAAAAATGCATACACCGCCCATGCTGAATGGAACATACTATTTGCGCGTTCAAACCGACTGCACTATAGCCAAAGGATCCACCCAACTGCTCCACTTCCAAAACATACCTATTGAGCTGAAACCAAACGACATCCCACGCTGGATTTTGTCTCTGCCTCTGCAGCACTTCGTCCGTCTCTCCTCCAGTGACAATGGGAGTGTGCGTGGCTGGCGTGCCAGTGTGGACGTCGCTGCGGAACGGGATGGTTTCAGGGAGCCAGCCAGTCAGGTGGTACAGGTCGGCCCCTGGGTTCGAGCCCTGCATGCTGTAGCTGCCGCCCATCAGCTTCACAAATGCCTTTTCCAATAAGGAAACCCACAGCTCGGACGGCTGCTGAGAATGCGCGCACAGCAGCTTTCCGTCCCGCCGCGTGGGCACATAGTCATCGACCAGCACCTTGCGGGGAGCCCCATTGAAGAACAGCTTCACGCCGTACATCCCACGTGGGTTGTATACAGGGCGAGAGCGGTACCTGCTGCTGCTGCTGCTGCTGCTGCTGCTGCTGCTGCCCGGGGTGGAGCTGGCAGCGACTCCTGGCTGTACGCGTTTCTGGGGGTAAATCAGGCTAGATATTACGGGCAAGCCATGGCGGCGCTCGTAGTCCGAGAGAACCGCCAGGGAAGAGAGGAAGGAGCAGTCGCCCACAAAGCCCTGGCGGATGCTGCGGCTGCAAGGCAGGTCCAGCAGCACCTGAGGCTGAGGCACAGCCTGCTGCTGCTGCTGCGGTTGCTGCTGCTGCTGCTGCTCAAGCGCGTCGCTGATGCGGCGCCACGCATAAAACTTCTGCTGCTGTTTCTGCGAGAGAGTCAGAAAACCCTCAGGGTCCGCCCACCGCCCGCCCACCCAACCCAAAGGGTGCGTAGCTGCTGCTGCTGCTGCAACTGCTTTGGCTGCCCGCGAAATAGTGCTAGCAGCTGCTGCTGTTGGCTGGCCAGAAGGGGAACTGCCGCCGCAGCAGCCCTCCGTCATGTAAAGCCCGTCGTGCCCGGAATCTACCTGCGAGCCGCGCCGCCGGTGTTTCGGGTGCTGCTGCTGCTGCAGCAGCTGCTCTTGCTCTAGCAAAGGACCCGTAGCAGCTGACCCTGCAGGCATAGAAGAAGCCCTCGGAGGAGGCACTCGACTGTGTATGGCAACTGGCTGCGTTTGAATGCCAGCTGCAGCGGCGGCAGCAGCTGAAGCATCCGTGCTGCAGCTCGTGCTGCTGTTGTCTGGAGGGTCGCATTCGAGGTAAAAGTTGCTGCTAATGTCTTTATCAGTTTCACTCCACGGTAACATCAAGAAAGGTCCAACAACAGAAGATTCCATGAGCAGCTGCTGCGCGTATGCATTGGAGCTGCTGCTGCTGCTGCAGCTGCTGCTGCTACTGCTGCTGCTGCCGCCACTAACCTCACGCAAAAGCTCCATCTGAAGGTTACTGCTGCCACTGCAGCCACGCGCTGCTGCCGCAGCAGCAGCAGCAGCTTCTGCAGCGGCAGCAGCAGCAGCAGCATCGTCTCCATCCAGAACAGCAGAAGACGACCACTGGAAGGGGTCCCCGTGGGCCACCTCTTCTGCTGCTTCACCGCCAACTATGTCCACACAGCCTTTATCTTTATAAGAAGCAGCTGAGGCCTTTCCTACTTCTGCTGCTAAGGGCCGCGATGCTGCAGCTGACGGCGCCACGGCTTCAGCTTGATACAGCCGCCGCTGGGGCCGCTGCAGCCTGCTGCTGCTGCTGCTGCCCGCAGCAGCAGCGGACGGGTCGCTCCACCCCAGCCCGCAATTCGGCACCCCCTGCTGCCTAGCTGCAGCAGCAGCAGCAGCAGCGGCCGCTGCTGCTGCTTGCGCTGGCGTCCCAGGTGCGCCTGCTGCTGAGGCCCCTATCTCGCTAAACGCGCTTGCACCCGACTGGAGCAGCAGTTGCTGCTGCCCCTCTGGCTGCATGCGCAGGTGGTCTTCTCGCAGCAGCTGTTGTTCCTGCTGCTGCTGTTGCTGCAGCGCCACGTCTGATGGCTCCTCGGGTCGAACTGCTGCAGCCGGGGAGGCGGCAGCAAGGTTCAGACCAGCCGCAGCACTAGTTGCACTAGCTGCTGAGGTGGGGCGAACCGCTGCGTTCTTAGTGCACTGGGCTCCCATGGTCTGGTGCCCTTGCTGCTGCCGCTGCTGCTGCTGCTTGTGCTGCTGCTGCTGCTCCAGCTGCAGCAGCTTGGGATGGACGTGGAGTCGGCTTACTACAGACGACCTGCAGCAGCGCCGCGCATTGCAGTGAGACGCCATACACCGCTGAGACTCCTCCTGATGCAGTTCCCGCACTTCAGCTGCTGCTGAAGTCGCTGCTTTTGACTGTGCTGTTGTATCTGCTGTTGCCCTTTTATTTGCTGCTGCCGTTCTGGCGACGTAGCAGAGAAACTGATACTGCAATTAGCGACAGTTCTCTACAACGGCTGTTTATTCTGCTGATGCTGCCAGTGCTTATCCTCCTTTGGCTTCCGTAGATGTTCGTCGATGCGACCTGCTGCTGCTGCTGTAGTGTCCAACAGATTGCGCAGCAGCAGCTGCTGCCGCTGCAGCAGCGCTAGCTGCAGCTGCTGCAGTAAACGCCAGCAGTGCTTCTAGTTTTGCTACTGAGCTCCCTGCTTCCTCCTCCTCTTGCTTCGCAATCTGAATATCTCTACGCAGAAGAGCAGCAGCTGCTGCTGCTGTGGCACGGAAGTCGCAGTAGCAGCTACAGGCGCCGAGTGTGGCCACAATAGAAGTTCTGCAGAAGTATTTTGACTTCCAATACTTATCGTTAAGCAGCTGCGATGGCTGCAGCACTGCATCAGTAGCACCTGCTGCTGCTCCGTTTGCTGCGGTTGGGCTGCGCTGCAGCAGCAGGCTGCTGCGCCCTTCTGCTGTACATACACTGCGAGCGACAGCAGTTGCGCCTACAGAGAAAGAAACGAACCCAGAGATTCGTTGGAGTTCCTGCTGCAGCAGTCGTTTTGAGGTAAGGCGGCAGCAGCCTCGCGAGCAGCAGCAGCAGCAGCTGCTGCTGCCGCTGCTGCAGCTGCTGCTACTGCATCGGCAGCGCGCACTGACGGCTACTGCTGCTGTGGTGGCGCCTGTCCCCTGGCCCCCTTTTCTGCTTCCTGAGTAAATTATTATATGATTCTCTGCCTTATAGTACAATTTTGAGTGCACCAGCTGCAGCAGGGCTGCCAACAGCAACCAAACAGCTGCAGCGACGAGCTGCTGCTCCCGTCGGCGGAGACCCCGTGGGACCCAGCATTTACCTCAGCTCGCTGGGCTTTGTCTCTGGGACAGTTAAACGATTGCCTGCTATTTTAGTTGCTACTGCTGCAGCGCTAGCTGCAGCAGCTGCTACGGTTGCTGTGCCAGGACAAGACAAAGACAGCAAGGCGCTGCATGTGCCGCAGCGTGTGGGGCCGCGACCGACGCCAAAACAGCTCTCACAAGAAACGACGAGGGCAAAGAAAGCAGCGGCCACACTTGCTGGAACTGCAACAGGTGAAAGCTTAGCAGTAGCGGCAGCAGCGACGGCAGCAGCAGCGCTAGTGGCGGCAGCAGCTGCTGCCGCAGCTGCACCACAACAGGAAGGCTCTGCTGCCCTTCTCGAATAATCAGTGGAGACGATCCGCATCGGTGCAGCAACACCACCAGCAGCAGCAACAACAACAGCAGGAGCTAGACCTGCACCACACTGCAAGCAGCACCAACCGGTGCTCCTTGCAGAACGCACTACAACAAGCTGCAGCAAACGGCTGCCTATGAGCCGAGCTGCAGCCGCAGCAGCAGCTGCTGCTGCTGTCGCTGCAGCAAGACAGCCAGAGAAATGTAGGCGACAACGCGCAGCACCATCGTGGGAAGTGTTCCTGTTGCTGCTTTGCTGCTGCTGCTGCTTGTCCCTGCTGCAAGCCACAGACGCAGCGGCAGCAACTCCAGCAACAGCACAAGCAGCAGCAGAACCCGCACCTGAAGTCTACAGCGAAGTTGTCTTCACAGAGCCGCTGCGTTCCCGGGGCCTTTTTCTTGCGCACTTCGACCTGCGGCTGAGGTCCAGCATTCCCGGTGAGGCTGCCCCTTCTTGCTGCTGCTCGCAGCTGCTGCTGCTGCTGCTGCAGATGCTGTCGTCGCTTTAAGTCAAGTTGCTTTTTTTGCTGCTAATATTTTTAGATGGAGCTTACTCGGGGTCTGGGCTGCATGCCCATATGTTCCCGCTGGATCTCGCCCGGCTGCTCGGCACCCACCTGCTGCAGCAAGACAGCAACAGCCTGCGGCAGCAGCAGAAGCAGGAGCTGCCGCATGCGTACTCATTCATTGACTTGTCTCTGACACAGGGAAGATGGAAGGCAAACCTGTGGGGACCTGCAGCAGCAGCAGCAAAGCCTCCAGGGGCCTTTCTGCGGGCAGGGCTCTCACAGCATCCTTCTTACCACCAGCAGAGGTCTGCTTCTGCTGCTGCTGCGCACACTGCTGCTGCTGCTCCTCGTGCTTGTGTTGCTGCGGCTCTTGCCCTCACGGCCAGCTATTCTGGGTGTCTCGTTTAAAAGGTACTTCTTGCTGCTGCTGTTGCTTCTGCTGCCGCTGCTGCTGCTGCTGCTGCTCCTTCTGCTACAGGCTATGGAGCCGTCTGACGCACACGCTGGCATCAACGACATGCAGCGCCTTATCGCGCCTTGCAAGTGCAACAGATGCAGTGGTAACACAAACAAGTGCTGCAGCAGCAGCAGCAGCAACAGACCAAGGAGAGGAGCAGCAGCAGCCGCAGGGCTACGCGCAGCGCATGGCTTCTCTCCCTGAGGCAGCAATCTGTTCGGACACGCACAACAACATGTTGCGGCTGCTGCCGTGCAAGCAGCAGGTGAGCCGCGTGTTGCTGCTGGTATAGCTGCTGCTTCGCGCTCCCCATTCGAGTTCTTGCTGCTGCTGCAGCTGCTGCTGCTGCTGCAGGCTGGGTTGTTGATGGTTCTTCATCCGTATTCTCTCGCGATATCTCCCTACAAGTCTTACAGGCTTCGCATCACACCATTTGCTGCTCAGCAGCGGCAGCAACAGCAGCAAGTCGCGGAGCTGCGGCTTGAGCTCTCTGTGGTGCTTCGATATCCAGATGAAGCAGACTGTGGGTCACTGCTGCAGTTACTGCGCGAGCTGCTGCTGCAGCTCCTCTCGCGGATGCTACTCTGTTCGCTCCCTGCAATTGCTGCTGCAGTGTCTGCAGCAGCAGTTGCTGCTGCAGCTGCTGTAGCCCTACTAATTTGGTCCTGCATGCGCTGCCGGGCCTGCGCTGCGTCTGCTTTTGCATGCAGTGAAATTTTCGTTGGTGAATCTGTTCAGTCAGGTGTACCTACACGTATTTCCTAAACCGTTTGAACAGAAGGCGGACGAGCAGCAGCAGCAGCAGCACGAAGAGCAGCAGAAGGAATCGCTGCTGGCGCAAAATCCCCCAGCCTTCGGGCGCTGGAATTGTGTTGCTGCAGGCAGCAGCAAGTGGCTGCTGCGCATATTTCATGAAACAGACAGCAACAGCAGCAGCAGCAGCGAAGACAACAGCAGCAGGGCAAATGAGCTGGTTCAGCAAGTCGCTTCAGCAGCAGGCTTCGCTACCTATGATGCTTTTGCGGTGGACGCGTCGTCATCCCTTATTGTGTTCGACTTGCGTCAGCAGCAGCAGCAACCGCAGCAGGAGCAGCAGGAGCAGCAGCAGCTAGAAAGCTTGCTAAGCTATAGGTGGCGCCTTCCAGCGGAGGCGCCGGGCTTTTCAGTTTCCCGCGGACTTGTTGCGAATGCCATCAGGCCAGAAGCAGACAAGTTGCATGGCAGGTTTAGGGTAAAGGGTTGAAGTTTTCGGCTTTTCGGGTGTAGAGGCGCATGCAGCTCTACAGAGACCCCGTGCTACTTCGTAGAGGCCCCAAGTTGCGTCGTTTCTTTTCGTTAAGCCCTTTTTGCTGACGCTTGCTGCTGCTTTTGCTGCTCGTGCTGCTGCTACAGGCTCCTACTGGGTCGTGTTTGAGAACAGTGGAGACAGCGCAGCTTCTGCTGCGTTTGTTGACCTGCTGCCGCGCAGCGTTTTGCCTCTGGTGGCTGCTGCCAAGCTGGTCAGGTACCCAGTGTACCAGGAAACGCAGCAGGACTACCAGCTGGAGCAGCAGCAGCAGCAGGATTGCGATTTGGTGAGATGGCTTGGCGCCGCAATCCTGCTGCTGCGCTTCTCTCAGTGCTGTTTTTTGCAAAACGTTGTGGCTTGCTTCTGCTGCTGCTGTTTCTATTTTAAAGCGTTAGAAGTGCTAACTCTACAGTGTTTGTTGCTGTTCCTGCTGTGCAGAGTTTGGAGGGTTCCGCAGCGGTCAACGCGTCCGGCTTGAAACTCCAGTCACCTGTGACCAGTGGTCCGACTGCAGAAGTTGCTGCAGTGGGAAGATCAGCTTTAGCTGCTGACATTACTGCTGCCGTTGCTGCTGGTGGGGCTCCGCGTGGGGGCATGGACGACACGTGGCTGCCTCACTGGCTGCGGGTGCGCTCCAGCTTGCTGCCTGAAGGATCTGCAGCAGCAGAAAAGCAGCAGGAGGGGGCTCAGCTGATGTTGCCGTCGGCTGTACTGCGAGGCACTGTGCGTGTGCCGGCCCGCTGCAGCATGCTGCTGTCACTGGGGCTGCAGCTAATGTTGCAGCAGCCACAGCTGCTGCACTCGAACCCCCAAGGTGGCAGTGTAGTTGGAGGCGCCTTTGCCGCTGTTCCTGTAAGCCTTGAATGTCTGCTGATGCGGCAGTTTTTGCTGCATTAGCAGCAGCAGATGTGGCAGGAGTATATCCATTGGTCGCGTGTTCAGCAGCAGCAACAGCATCAACTTTGTCGCGTCCTGTTTGTTTTGTTACAACAGAGGAAACTGGCGTTCGCCTGGCCTCCCCCTGCCGCTGTCTTGGGAAGCGCAGCAAACGCATGCGCCGTCAAGCAATCCCCACCGTGCAGCATCCGGCCGCTGCCTGCAGGAGCAGGAGCAGCGGCAGAAAATCAGGTGCAGCAAGCGCCGTTAGAGCCGTTTTTAGGATTTAAAGAGTGAGACCAACACGTGTGTATTGCGCATTGGGTTGCTGCTGCAGCTACTTGGATATTTTCCCCTCTTAAGTGCTGCCATTGCTGCCGCTGCTACAATTTGCATGCTTTCAGGGATCTTGAGGAGAGGCAGTGGCAGTGGACAGCGACTGGAGGCACCCGACTTAAGCTACCGCTGCCAGATTTCGGTGGGCTTCACAGCAAGCAGCAGTACTGGCAACAAACAGCAGCAACAAAGAACCTTTCATCGAGAACAGCAGCAGTGGCGGCAGCAGCACCGACACTGTGTTTGGGTGTTGTGCTGCAGATATGCCTTTCAACGTTATCGCCGTCTCGGGCACATCTTTAATGATTTTATTTAGCGCGACATTTAGGCTAGTCGTGCACAGAAGATAAGCATAAGCCGCCTTGTGCTGAACCTGTTGCTACGGCTCCTGTCGCAACAGCAAAACCTTCGATTGACACGAGCAGTCTTCATTGCTCACGCAGGGTTAAAATTAAAACTATTATGCAGCCATAGCGACTGCAGAAAAATTGCAGCAGCTGCTGCTGTTTCATGCAGCAAGTGTTGCTGCATGCTGCCGCTGATATTCCACGCAGCAAGTGTTGCGGTACTACTTGCTGCTGCTGCAGCAGAAAGAACAAAACCTATGTGCTTGCATTTATCCGAGGGACGAAGAGAATGCTGCTGTTGTAGATGTTGCAGCATTGGCCTCAGCACCGCAGCAGCTGCCGCAGCGGCGGCAGCGAAGCTGCTGCTCGGGTCCCTACAGAGAATCGCGTCTTGCCCTGTTTCTCTTTGGGCACTCTAAAAAAGGGCTCCATAGAAACAGAAGAAGCCGTGTGAAGGCGTTCAGCTGTTTAGTGCAGCAATCGTCTGATGGTGCGGCGCTGCTGCCGTTAAGCCCCGCTTCAAGGTCAATAAAGTCCCCTGCAACCATCTGTGCCTGCTGCTGTTCATGCAGCTGTTTCGTGAGAGGGCCGTTGCTGCTGCAGCCGTTGCTGCTGGAAAGCGCAATGCTCTGCAGCTCGTCAGCTAGAGAGGGGAGCGTTTGTATTTCGGACGACTGGCGCTGCTGCTGCTGCTGCTGCTGCTGCTGCTGTGACAAATGCATGCGCAGCATGCGGGGAGACGCAAGGGGCAGCATGGGCAAGCCGCTGCTGCTGCCGCGGGGTGTCTGCGGCAGCGACATAACTTTATTTATTCCCGATCCAGGCGCTGCCTGCTTGTCAGATTGGCCCTGAATGCCACTCCCCTGCTGTTGCTGCTGCTGCTGCTGCTGTTGTTGAATTTGCTGGTGCAGCGACCTGTTGCTGCCGCCGCTGGCGGCAGCAGCAGAGTGATGGCTTGCTGCTGCTGCTCGGAGCTGCTGTCTTAGCTGCAGCACCTCCTCGTGCAGCTTTTTGGCAGAGTCCGCACATGCCTCTTTAGAGCTCTGCAGCGCCTGCAGCTGCGCAGCGAAAGTCTCTCGCTCTTGAGTTAACTTCTTTGCCCACTCTAGTGCAGCACTGGCTCGCTGTGATCTTGCTGACAGCTGCTCCTGCTGCACTTCCGTCTGGAGTTCAGCATGGGCCCGCCGCAGCGCCTCTCGCTCCTGCCGCAGCTGCTGCTCTCGAGTCCGCAGCTGAGCGGCTTCTGCTGCTGCAGCCTGCAACGCAGACTCCCGCTGCTGCAGTAACTCCTGCTGCAGCAGAGACTCTTGTTGCTGAGCCTTCAGCTGCCGACGCAGAGAGGCCAACTGCTGCCGCAGACTTGATGCTTGCCGCTCCAGCGCCTGCTGAACCTCCCACTCCTGCTGCTCCCGCTGCTGCTGCAGCTTCTCAAACACCTGCACGCGGATGCTGTCGCGGCTGCTTCCATTCTCAGTTGCAGTATCATTCGTCTCAGGCTCAGAACCCTCATAATCTGCACTGCAGTATGTGTTTTCGGGAAGTCGAGAAGACTGCCGCAAACGGCAGCCACGAGGTGTACGTAGGCTGTTGTGCTCACCCTCCGCGAGCCACTTCAAATCTTTATCCTCAGATTCAGAAACAGTCCACGAGAGTGTCGTTGCTGAAGTTTTGGGGTGTACTGACTCCATATCTCCTGGGATCTCGGCATTATACGACGCAACGGACTTGCCTGGCTTTATTCCTTCCGTTGGGAGTAGCACACAAAGACGGGAGCCGCTGGCGGGCGAAACGTCAGTTGCAGCAGCAAAAAGAGCAGCTGGCACAGATGCTGATGAAACTTCTTGCGTCTTTTCACCTTCAGTTGCCGTGCTAATGGCTGGAGAGACAGCGAGCGCCTCATATGCCGGCATCTTGGTGTTTATGCAGCTGAGATGACTCAGCAATTGTTTGCAGCGTGTATATCTTCTCCCGCTTGAATGAATGCCCCACCTCTGCAGCCTTAGCTGCTGGTGCACTGCCGTCTTCTGCCGCTATGGAACAGCGCACAGCGACAAGAAGCCCACAGCGATGAGACTCTGCTGGCAACAGGCACGCGGGCGAAGAAACGCGATAGCCTTCATCAAAAAGCTTATTAAAGTTGTCTTTACTGGAGCCTGCTAATAGAGCTGCGCAGAGCACAAGGACACAGAAGAGGCCCTGATGAACGCGACAAGGGCGGGCCCGCCACGGTAGGACATGAGGTGCATTCCCCGCCTCCTCACGGACATTGGCTGGGCGGTGTGTCTCTGTGGCTTCAGATTAAACATAAACAAATGCAATTTTTGCTTGAAGGCTTTGAATCGGTCAGAACATGTGCGGATTAAGCATCCACGGGCTCAGGGCTTGCTGCTGGCGACTGCAGGACCACGGGCCGCTACCAACTTCAAGCTCAGATCGCCGTCCAGTGCCCGTAGAAGAAGATGTCAATGATTCTTGAGATTTACCTTTTCTAAAATGCTTCAAAATTAGTGAAGTTTATAAATATGGGAGTATATGGGGTTAGTTGCTTCTCATGAGTTGTCATCAAGGGCCGTTCAATAAGGGGTGCGCTACCTCAGAGCGCCTACACTTAGATACTTGCGGTGCGTGCAAAACGTGTCTCTGCTAATCACGTGAGAGGTGGATGCATTTACTTCCAACAAGACGGTTTGAAAAGGTAAAATTTTCTGGTTTACGGGGACGAAACATCAGTGAAGTCTGCTCTAAGTTGCCGCTAAGATATTCGGCGCCTCGACGAACTACAATGCACACCAAGGCCTGCAGGGCTTGAAAAGGCGTGACCCTGGCTAAAGGCACTTTATATTAGGTGAAAATTGAGCTGAAAAACAGAGAGGAATTTTTTGGAGGAAAAAAACCAAACTAGTTAAATGGGCGTCTCGATGATCATAAATTTTCGGACCACTGGTCCGACGTGTCGGCCGCAACCTCGAATATCTACAAGTTCCGAGTTCCTCAACGAAACCATGGAAAATTAGAGAGAGTTTAACTGTTCCATATACGTAAAAATTGTAGGTCCACTGTAGGCATACTAATCTTCATTCGCTGTTTCATTGCTCGTCGGACTGGCGCAGTTGTGCGACCGATTGGAAATCTGAATAGATAGTGCTTGAATACAGAATCCAGGGGCCACTTGTTTTCACTAGCTTTAAAAGTAGCACTGAATTTGCTAATTCAGTATTTTTTTTAAATTTGAAACATCTTATCCGTTCAATCAAAGGAAGTTTCACACCTGTTTTGAATGCGCACGTGAGAATGGATAGTCTTTCTGGTTGATGCACTTGGGGTTTAACTGAAGAATAGAAGAGCTCCTTTATTCATTAGCTATTTATTTGGCAAATAGTCAAGGAAGGAATAGAGTGGTGGTTGCTGATCTTCCTAGGCATCGGCTTGTGATGCAGCTTTTGCCGAGAAGCCTAGTTATCAGTAAATGCCGTGGCTGTTGCACCTGACACACTGCCGAAAATAGTGAGCAGGCTAAGCTCTTTTTTTCTGTTATTAAACGCATCCACATCCCATATTACCAGAAGAGACAGATATGGCATGCTCAGCAAGTGGCTAAACACGCACGTGCCGAGGTATTGCAGCTCTTTTGTAAACGGCCCTTGATGCCCGTACAGGAGAAACAACTAGTTCTAATCATTCTAAAGCTAAACTTATTTATCAAATAAGAGGCATTTCGGTAAGAGCTGACACAAAAATCCTTCAAATCGTGTGAGGGCACTCGACAGTTATCTGCGTCGAAGTCGCGGCACTGTATGGTCCTACAGTCACCGGCAGCTATCCCCAAAGCCGCTGCCTGTTTGATGTGCTCATGTTCAAAGTATTTCCAAGCTTTCAGTCTCAAATTTTACGTATTTATGTATAATCTCAAACCATAGAGACAAACAGACCAAAGTCTGTGAGGAGGCAGGGAATGCACCTCACGTCTTACCCTGGCGGGCCCGCTCTGTCGCATTCATCCGTTGGGGCTTCTTCTATGTATTTGTGCACTGCTCAGCTCTATTAAAAGCCTCCAGTGACTACAACTTCAAACAGCTTTTTGACGAAGGCTAGAACCACTCTCCTCAGCTTTGCGTTCTTTGCTGTTGAGCGCTGCACTAGTATAGCAGCAGACAGCGGCACCTCAGCAGCAGATAAGGCGACAAAGCAGGTCTTTTTAATTTGAAGCAGCCACTGTGGAGCGGCCAATCGTTGAATCGTCTCAGCTCAATAAGCACAACATTATTTATGCCAACATCCCAAGATGCCGGCCTACGAAGCACCCTTCGTCTCCCCAGCATTTGCTGCAGTGACTGCAGGACAGGAGCCCAGTGAATCCCAAGAAGTTAAAGCTGAAGGCTCCCTTTCGAGTGTAGTGACGGGGGGCTGCATGATGCTTTTTGCTGCTATCATAGTGGTTTGTGAGCTGTATGCAATTTTAATTTCAAAGCTCCTCCCTTACACAGGGATTTCCTGGCTTGACGCCATTAAGGACGACTGGCATTTCTGTCTCATCATTCCAGCTAACGTTGGCGCCTCCGTATTTTTCATATACTGGAACTGGTTCGCGCTTACCGTATTCAGGAACTGCCGGAACGTCTCCTGCTAAGTTTTTGCTGCTTCTTGATTGTCTTCTTGAAGCAGGTCCCAAGCTCACTACGAGGATGCTGCTGTATGCCAGTTCGCTTCTAGCTCCTCTCTGATCTCCGTATACGGAAGAGAATACCATTTAAATAGATTATTAAACAGGAAGAAGCATCATAAGCGAAACAAGAACGCGCGGTGTCCGTAAATTGCTTTTCCCGCTGCTTTCGAGTTGCATTACACTCGAACCCAAGTCTTCAACATGATTCATTTCTAATCAGAAGTGCGCACCAAGCCTGACCTTTTCTAAATGCAGTAAATGCAATAAAACAGTGTCCGGTGTTTTCACGTATCAGCATTGTATATGCATAAAGCTACACGCTTTTGTATTGTTCGCTTTC